AGACAGTTTTAGTGGGTATACATGGAAACTGTCCCTCTTCTAGGGGCGCTGAAAGCGTGAGTCTTTCCACACTACCTGGGCTATCTTCCCAGGTGTCCGTAATAGGATTTCTGTCTTCCTTAAACAAAAAAAAAAAGGTCTCACTCAAATAGTGTTGTGATGTATGATCTTACCACCCTACATATGGCCCATTCGAGGAGTGCAGGGTCTCGCTCGAATGGTTATGCTACGTTACGTTACGCGAAACTTTCTCACTCACGATTCGACTTTTTGACTCTCGAGCCGACTCGCACCAGCTTCAACGTTCGAGTGACTGTGTTTCTGTAGAAGAAATCGCCTGAACACCCTCGAGTCTCCGAAGGTGACTGTTAAGAAAACACTCTATGCTTTCATTTGTTAAAACTGTTCACAAAAGAGAGGTATAGCTCTTAGCTGAATTATGGCAAGTAAATGTTTACGGTAAGACTGGTTCGGACCGGATGTGATAGACAAAAGGGTCTTTGATGACCCGTACTCCGAGGTATAAACTATTGACGGTGGTCTACGCGCCGAACCACTTGAGCCCTGCAATAAATCGCTTTGTCGCGGCAAAGGTCTCCGTTCGCGACCGAACAGTCACTATGATCCATTCTTTAAAAATACCAAGCAATAATTGTTTGATGTTTCGAACACTGAAAATATACAAGTAATGATTATTTTTCATTAATAGATTTCTGATTATTACTCATTTATTTAAATACTAAAATATGAAATAAATTAATATTTCTTATATTGATGGTTGCGGGCTGTTCCATATCAAGTCACCTAACATTGGACTTCACAATCAGTGATTTTTACCGTTCTGCACATTCAGAAGTATCTGCACTAATGATAAACGAAGAAGCATTGCAAGGTAAAATTAAATCACAAAAATAAATAATTACATGTGTCGAGTAGTTTTCTAGTATAAGAAATAAGAGGAGGAATGACATTCGGTAGTGAAACTGGTGAGACCTATTTTCGGTGATGTTTCCAGCGGACATCACATAATTTCAAAAAGGTTTAACAATTCAATTGTTATTTCAACGATGCAATGTATATCCTCGGCTACTGTCACAATTGTTACTTCTTACACCTTCTTTTCCTAACTCTTCCTCTCTCTCCCTTTCTCTTTCTCATTTATATATTACCGTAATTGATCGATTTTGCGATTAGTCTATTCAAACTTTATTAAAAATATAAATATATTTTTTATTGTAACAATTTTCTCAATTTTTGAACATTTCAATCAGTACTTATTTACTTAATGTATTTTGCAACAAAGTACTCTTTTCCACAACAACATTCTAGTACAATGGGAAATTTCGGCATTCCTTCAAAACATTACTATCGCTCTCAATACTATATTTACTGTATAATTAATCCTAAGTTTGTATGTTATAACGAAAGATCCCGAGAATGATGTCACTTTCCATACTGATGGAACTGTGTTTACTTTCACAATTTTTATAACACATATTCCTTTAATATATTTTATTAATCTATGATTTTGCATAGATTTAGCGCAATATTTATTTCCAATGTCTACAAAGACAACTTTTCACGCATAATAGCCTGCAATTGCAATTTCGCTTCGATATTATAATTATCACTATGATAGAATCTTGTCATCCAGAAACTATCCATTGTCATGAACATCTGTGGAATATCATTAATGATATTAGGTCTCTTATTTACTAAGTCTCTCATGTTCCTTTTTCTATGAAACCAGCGAAAATTTTAGATATGTCGTTCTGACATTTAAAAACGTATTTTTACTTACGTATGGCACGTGTATAGAAATAAAAGATATGTGGTTGGGCAGCACATGTAGATCAACATCGACTTCAGAGGCATAATTACACTCACTATCATGTCCTATGGTTTCCGCAGTCATATTTTTTTTTTTTTTATTTTACTATTATTATTATTATTATTGAGGAAGACAGAAATCCTATTACGGACACCTGGGAAGATGGCCCAGGTAGTGTGGAAAGACTCACCCTTCCCCCTTAAGGGGGACGGTTTCGGCCCATACCCACTAAAACTGTCTCCCGCCCCCAGGGGTTGGGCATGGCGGTAACCCGACGAGCTACATCATCAGCTGGATATGATCCACTCTCACTAGGCCGTCGCTTGCGTTCATGAGAAGAGACTGTCCCCCTCCCCCGTGTGTGCTCCGTATGTGACGAGAGGATGCCCTTATGCAGTGGATCTTGGCCCAAGCGGTATCGTCAAGTTCCTCGGGGAAGCCTTCGCGCGAGTGCTTCAACTTCCAGCTTCATCCTATAACGCCACCCGCTGCCGCCTTCCACCGCGCCCGAACATACGGTTCTAAAACCGCGACCTGTCCCCACCACATCATACCTACTAAATTGCTAATGCTCGATATCGCGTGTATATTAGCCTAATTCCCCCCCCCCCCC